AGTCAATTGGTGCAAGAGGAAAACAAGGAGGTAAGTGTGAAGAGTGTTAAAAGGTGGAAAAGGGGATTTCCTGTTTCTGCTTGTATGACTCTTCGAACAGCGCAAGATGGAAGAAAGAAAATAAGTCATTATGCTAGAGTTTATAAAAGAACGAGGAACAGAAGAATATGGTTGAATTCGTGTAAAGAAGCAGATTTTATTGGTTCAGAGGCTATTACGATTCAAGAACAGAAGGGTTCAGATCGCAGAAACATACAACAGCCTTCGTCAGAAGTTTCGGAGTGTGTGGCTACTGATACTTTTTCATCCTCAGAGTTAAGAAAAGTTTGCAGAAAGAACAAAAGAGTTTTAATTAATCAAGCCTTGGAGGTGGTTAATATTCACACTGCCTCCTCTCCTCTTTTTTCTAAGCTGTTGGAGGAAGCTATGGCCACTTGGGAAGTATGCCTGATGTTAGGCATCTCTTTCAAGGATGGGAAGGAGACATTTATTGAAAAGATTTTATGCCTTGAGAATGGTTCGGAGGTTGTAAAGGATGATGGATATGATGGTTAGGTTATGCGGTTGGATGGGTATGGTTTGGGTGTTTGGGAGTGATACATTTTTATGCAGAATTTAAGTATTCTTTCGTGGAACATTAGAGGTTTAGGGAGGAGGGAGAAGACCGCTTTTGTCGCTAGGCTTGTAAAGAAGGTCAAACCAGTAATGGTTTTTATTCAAGAATCCAAGCTCGAACATTGTAAGGAGTCTATTTTAAGGAGATTAGGAGGGAATCTGTTAAAGGGGGTGAAGTTGTCTCCAGCACAGGGGTCTAAGGGTGGTTTGATTAGTATGTGGAATGAGAATATGTTCAAAGTCACTAATCAGCATGTGCACAGCAGGTTTTTGGCGCTGGTGGGGAATTTTTTGAACGATCAAAAGGAGTTCGTATTTATTAATGTCTACGGCCCTGCTATTGAAGATGAAAAGGAGGATTTTTTGGGGAGCTATTGTGTTTCGTAGTTTCGATGAATTTACCGGTTTGTATAGGGGGTGATTTTAACGCGTATATTGATCCGGAAGAAAAGCTAGGGAAAGCTCAGAACTGGCATACAATAAATATTTTTAGAACATTTGTGCAGCGAGCTAAGCTCATTAATCTTCCCATGTCAGGAGGGACTTTCACATGGTGTTGTAATAGAGAAGATGCAACATGGGTTAGGCTTGATCGGTTCTTAATAAGTGACAGTTTTCTCAATTGTTTTCCTAAGATTTCACAGAGCCTTCTTTCGATTTCTATGTCAGATCATAAACCGGTTTTGCTGGAGGATGTTTGTATAAATTGGGCCCCAAAACCTTTTAGATTCTTCAATTATCTTTTACAGGAGCGAGGCTTTGATGATTTTGTGGAAAATCTTGTGGCAGTTGAGAAGAATAAGAGGAATTATGGGGGAATTTTCAGAATGTTACAGATGGCTAAAAAGCATATCAGAAGTTGGCCTGGAAACAGCAATTTTGAGTCGCCAGACTCCATTTCGGTTCTTCAAGGGAAGATAGATAATTGGGAAAGGAAGTCGCAAGGTGGATCCTTGTCCAAGGGGAGTGGGATCAGATGGTAGAATGTAAAAAGGAGTTGTGGAGGTTGTTAAGGACCGAGGAGAGCATCTGGTGTCAGAAGTCCAGGAGTAGATGGATTAAGAATGGGGACAGAAATACGAGATTATTTCACTTGAGTGCTTTGACGAGGAACAGGGTTAACACTATTCATTCATTGAAAATTAAGGGAGAATTTATCTCGGATTCAGGAATTATTAGAAGTAGTTTGTTCAATTTCTTCAAGACAGCTTACAATACCAATTCAGCAATGGAGGTTGAGGGCCTAAACTTGGATTTTGCGCAACTATCAGCAATTCAGAGTACTTCTTTGGAGGTGGAATTCTCTGAGCAAGAAGTGTGGCAAGTAATCTCTTCTTCGGATAGTGCAAAAGCCCCTGGCCCTGATGGTTTTACCATGGGTTTCTATAAGAAATACTGTGAAAATCTAAAGGAGCAGATCATGCAGTTTTTCTCTGATTTCTATCAAGGTAAAATGTGTGAGCATGGAGTTAATCATGCATTTATAACCTTGATTCCTAAGAAAGGTATTCCCAAGAGCATTGAAGATTATAGACCCATTAGTCTTGTGGGCATCTTGTATAAAATCCTCTCAAAAGTTCTCTCAAAAAGACTTATTTCTTGTGTCAAGGATATCATTAGCCCGTCTCAGTTCGCTTTTATTTCGGGTAGACAATTGTTGGACTGTGCATTTTTAGCCAATGAAGGAATTGATCATTGGAGGAAGCAAGGAATTAAAGGGGTTGTTCTTAAGGTGGATTTCAGTAGAGCATACGATACAGTAGAATGGCAGATTCTTCAAAGGTTAATGAAGGAGATGGGTTTTGGAGAGAGGTGGTGTTCTTGGATCTCACAATGTATCTCCACAGCTTCTATTTCGGTTCTAGTGAATGGGTCTCCTACTAAGGAGTTTTCTATTGCTAAAGGCTTGAGGCAAGGTTGTAGCCTTTCTCCTCTTCTGTTCAATTTGGTCGGGGAATTACTTCATAGGATGTTGACTAAAGCAGTGGATTTGGGTCTGTTTCAAGGTTTCTCTTTCGGTAAAAATCAAAATTCATTCTCTTTGTCCCATCTTCAGTTTGCAGATGACCTAATTATATTTTGTCGAGCATCAATTTCGCAGATTAAGAATGTTAGAAGAATTTTGAGGATCTTCAGCTTAATGACGGGGCTCCATTTAAATTTAGCCAAAAGCAAACTTTACAAAATTAATGTGGAGAGTGACATCCTTGAAGATTGGGCTACGAAGATTGGTTGTTCTATTGGTTCATTTCCCACGGAGTACTTAGGCCTTCCTTTAGGGGGCGAGAACGAATTCGGAGAAGTTGTGGGATCCGGTTATTGCCAAGTTTAATAAGAAATTGGCTGGTTGGAAAGCTACTTCTTTATTGATGGCGGGTAGATTGGTGTTAATAAAGTCGGTATTATCATCCTTACCTATTTTTTTCCTATCTATGTTTAAGATGCCTTCTACTATTTGTCAGAGGTTAAATTCATTGATGTCGGATTTTTTATGGGGGAGTAGGGGGGACAAGAAGAGTGCACTGGGTGCGCTGGGATTATATATGTAGGCCGTTGAGTGGAGGAGGATTGGGAGTGGCGGATTTGAAGGTTACAAATCGAGCGTTGTTGGGCAAGTAGATTTGGAAGTTTGCCAATGATAAGAATTCGATGTGGAAGAAACTTTTATGTAGCAAACACAATGTGAGCTGTCAATCCATGGATATTAATAGAGTTCTCTCTCATAAAGACTCTTGGATTTGGAGGGGAATTGTGAATAACTATTTAAAGGATGATGTCTTTGGAGGTTGCCTTAGATCTCATGCTAAGCTTCAAATAGGTAATGGTTAATCTATTTCCTTTTGGAGTGATACGTGGAATGTGGATTTTCCTTTGAAACTTATGTTTCCTAGAATGTATGCCCTTTCTTCAAATAAATTGGGTAAGGTAGCTGATTTTGGGTGTTTCGATTTGTCTGGATGGGTTTGGAATATTAAGACCAGGAGGAACCTTTGTGATAGGGAAGTTGAGCAGTTCGTTGAGTTATTGGACAGCCTAAAAAATATTAAATTGATGGAGCCTTTGGAGGACTGTTTGTTGTGGGATGGTTCGGACGATGGGCAATTTTCTGTTAAAGCGTGTAGGAAAGCTCTTTCTGTTTCTCTTGATGACTCAGTTCAGTGGGAGAAAGTTGTTTGGCTGGGTTTAGTTCCTCCCGAGTGGAGACTTTCCTTTGGCAATCGTCACATCAAAAAGTAGCTGTGAGAGTGGAGTTGTTGAGAAGAGGGGTTGATTTAGGGGAGAACATTCTCTGCCCGTTTTGTAATCAAGATGTTGAATCAGTTCAGCATCTATTTATTTCTTGTCTAGTATCTTGGGAACTGTGGATGAAAATTATAGGGTACTGGGGTATTCGGCTTGCTCTTCTGCAAGACCCTCCTAAACTGCTCAGTTCATGGGCTGATTTGAGGCCATATTCTACTATATGGAAGTTTATTCCAGGGGCAGTTTTTGGGTCCATTTGGAAGTTTAGGAACGAGATCATCTTCGACAAAGGAAAGTTGGACAGAATCTCTTTATTTTTCATTGTTCGATTCAGAGTAGCTAAGTGGTTTGTAGCTAAGTATCCCCTATTTTCAACTCAGGTTGATTTCTTAATTGGTGACCCCTCTGTGGCTGACAACCTTTCAGACTCTAAGGCTCTAGACAATATTGTGTTATGCTAGATTCCTCCTCCACTGGACTTCTTTAAGATGAATGTGGACGGGGCGGTGAGTAGTGTGGGGATGGTGGCTGGTATTGGGGGAATTCTAAGGGACTGGAATCGGGTGGTACTGACTTCATTTTCAGTAAATGTAGGTCCTAATACTCCCATCCTAGCAGAAATGAAGGCTATCAAGAAAGGCATTGACATCTTTGTTTCATCTGTATGGGCTTCGAAGGGTAGGCTCATTATTGAAAGTGATTCAAAGACAGCAGTGGAATGGATTATAGATCAAAGTTCAGTCCCTATTTACCTGTCAAATTTTGTGAAGGAGATTGCATCTAATGTTTCTTTAAATCAGTTCATTATCAGGTGGATTCCTAGGTGTTGTAATTGTGAGGCGGACAAGCTAGCGAAGGAGGGAATTGGCTGATTGTACTGCTTTTAGTTGGTTTGTATGTCTTTGAGGGGAGGTCATGCAGGAGTGTATCAAGTCTTATGTATTTTTGTAGGAGTTTTTTTAAATTTTATGTAATTGTTTTATCATTAATAAAATGTACTCTTTTCCTCCTTCCACTAGAGGGTTCTTGCCTTAGGGCAGTGGACTACTTAGAGGGAGGTTTTAATGAGGCATCCTATTCCTATCAAAAAAAAAAAAAGACCACCATTCTACAAATAATTTTAAGATATGAAAACAAAATACCTGTTTCTGGAGATTTAGCAGCGTTAGAATTTCTTTTCTTAATTCAAGATGTTCAGCACAAACAGCCTTTGTTGGAACCTTTGGCTTTAAGTTAACCTGTAAAAGATTAATATAATTTAAACTTATCTCAGGATGATATTAAACTAAAATAATGAAGAATGTTTATAAGATTTAGAATTGAATGACTAATCGAATGGCTAGAAATAAGGAGCAAAGGATATATTTCCAGACTAAATTGACAATAACTATTAAAAGTAATAAAGCAGGGTCATCTTACAATGACAACAATAACAGATTAGCACACTTGAATTGAAGAGAAGTATCTGTTTTACTGAATCTCTACACCATCTCCAATAAAACATAAAGAGACCTTACAATTTGCGAAATCAAGATTGAATAGGTGCATAATATGAAATCCTGTGAGAAACACCCTTTCTTTATCTCTCTACATAGGAATCTTCATGTATAGAAGTTGCAAGTAGAATAAGCAACCATTAGAAAGTGTTTTCATGTCTGGTCATCATACATTTAGCACAACATTATCCACCCATAACTGATAGAACATATCTGCACATAATTAAAATTTCAGGGATCAGAGACAAACCCCAAGATCTTGTAAGGTTTGCTCAACTCGCTTGATAGTCCGAAGTCCAGCAGATGAGCTTGCAGCTTGGACCATTTGCTCCAGTGCATAAGTTCTCAAGTATACCCTAAGCTGAAAATTATATCAAAGCAGTTAGAGAACTCTAGAATACCAAAAGGTATCCAATAACAAACTTTAGAAAACAAACACAAACTTTCTTCCATACAAACTTCCAAGAAGTAATTGCCATAGGTACTAATCAGACCATAAAAATATTGGAAGCAAAATGAAATGAATTATTAAAAGGGAGAACATTTAGTACAAATCAAATTAAATATGTTTTACTGATAAGAGGAGCCATTTCCCATTCTGAATTTATTTGTTCTTTGATGGAGAGAGAAAGATAGAAGAGAAAACAGAAGACCACATGCTGAACGTACCAAATGCAAGGAAGCAAGAGTACAGGAATTATCAGCAATTACTGAGGTAGATGGTGCAGCAGCTGCAGCAGGAACTTGAACATTGGAGGGAGATATAGTTTCTCCAGGACCAACAGCACTTTCAGGACCAATATCTGAAGTGGCAGGCATATCAGGTTCTTCGGCAGCCTGAACAGTATATACATAGAAAGCTATATTATTCTAGACTGTATAAATCCAGGTGCAAGCACACAAAAAAAACACAGACCCATAAGATTCCTAACTGTATTCCAACTCTCGCATACAACATATGTGACTATCAAATCAAGCTGAAAATCTTATGCCTTTTGACTTTAAATTGAAAACTCAAGTGACATTAATAGACATCATATTTAAAGTCCAGCAATGGCAATTGCAACCACCACAATAGCAGCTTGTTCGGCTTATACATACCCATGCAGCCATACGTGACTCGGCTATTCTTTTTGCTTCAGCAAGAACCTGCAGATAAAACCATAGAGCAGTGAAGAACTCTAGACATTCAACCAACAAGCCTACACACAGATAAATGAAGGGAAAATCGCATAATAAATGGAAGAAAAAGGTTCCATAGAAAAAAAATGTGCACCTCAGCATCTTTCCGCCCTTGGTGCTTTGTTTGAGAGAGGACCATCGATAAAGCACGCTTGCGTTCAATCTCTTGAGTAACCTTGTAGGGTTCCTATACCAGAGAAAAATATCAGAGATACTGTATAACAATTGAAATTAAATAATTTCCCAGAGCAGCATTATATACAATAACAGCTTATTTTTGTTCGTACTTCCTAGAAACTGCAACAAAAACAAAAAGGTAAATAGTTTAAAAGGTTTCACTTATATTGATACCAGACCTTAACAAGAGGATGCCCTGTAACTTCGCCAGGTGATGGAGCCCTAGCAACCAGTATGGCTCGAGACACTACATAAAGAAAAAGCCATAATCACCATGAGAACCATATAACATCTCAAAGGTTGATTAAAACAAAACTGTATGCAAATCCAAACTGTAAATAGAATATCAAGAAAGTATATGAATGATGGCCAATAGAAAGTCCAGAAATTAGATAGAGTACCACTGTAATAACGATCTTTCAGTTCCTCAACAGTCCGGGTTGTTGGGAACCTATCAGCTATAATGATGAAGAGGAGATCAAACTGTTCGCACAGATCAAACAATTGATCTGTCTCTTCCTTAGTCCATTTCTAATTATCAAGGGGGGGGGGGGAATTAACCAGGCAAATTGAATTAATGGAAAGTTGGAAAAACAAATATATGCCTCAATTTTACGAACTACTTCGACAATTTCAAATTTTCAAAGACAAAAATGGAAATAACAATTGGCAGAAAAAATATAAACAAGTGCTGCAACCTCAAGTTAATACGTACAGGATCAGTTAAGTGTTTTTCATACTCCTCATCTGTGTATCTGATAACATCAACAGACTGCACCATACCAGACAAACATGTTTAATTGCATGAACAAACAAATGCATAAAAACACAGCGATAAAGAAAAATAGATATAGCATGAACTAGTTTCCAGTAAATATAGAAAGAGCAAATAAATAAACAAAAGGTTTGTGCATACCTTGTTATACTTAGCAAAGGAATAATCCCCTGTCGGTGGAACACAATTTACGACTCTCACCTGAAAGGAATAAGAGAGACTCAGACCTTGAAAAATACCCACTTAGTTAAGGGGAACTATATCTAGAAACAGATACTTACCCAGTGGTAAAGTTGCAAGTTATCTTTTCGGGCAGAGCTCGTGAAAGGAAGCCACTGCCATGTGATCTGTAGAGAATTTCAAAATCATTAAGAAACACGCCTTAAATCATAGCATAAACCACCATTTGACAGTTGCTTACACTAGTTTTTCTTGTTTGCAGACACTTCCCAAGAGTTTGATGCAAACAAAGTTATTTCCATGAAACTCAATTTTAATCTTTTTATTCATCAAGACACATATATAAATATACATGTCTCTAATTCAACTTATTTTCTTCGAAAGAAAATGCAAACAAAAAATTGCACTCTAACAAGCAATGGAAGTCTAGGCAAAACCTTATCGTCGGATGGTGGGCGTCGTTTCAGTTGAGAGACGTCAATTGAAGGCATAAGCGGAGCCACCCCTCCAGTGAGGGCATAAACCTACAAATTCCACCCAAAAGCAAAATCAAGTAAGGAAGTAGCCCTCTTTCACTCAATGCAAGATAAAAAATTTGAAAAGCAAACAATTCAAATTTCCTTTTCTTACCTCGCGTGAAATACCATTGGGTTTTCTCTGGGAGTCTTTCTGGGAACGTGATTTTTTCTCCGGAGTTATTGACAAAGGAATTTTGGGTAGACCAAGGATGTCCTTCGCGTCCATTGTATTTTTCTTATTACTCTCCGAAGAAATTTAATTAGGGTTTTTGCTATCCATTCAAACTCGACAAGTTCTGAAGAAAAAGTTGGCTTCGTATCGGGAAATTAGACCTTCAAAGGATTAAAGGGGGGAAATCTAGGGTTTCTTCGAGCGCGAAGGTCAGTTTTGAGTATCATAACAAAAATCAACTGTAAGAATTGGGATCGGATCAATTCCAGGTCACTGACAGGGCTTCTATGGACAACCATGAACCGGTTCCTTGGCTATAGTTTCTATGATAAATTATTGGATTGATCACTGTTCTTTCATATTTATACATTTTTCTTCATCAAATTTAAAAAGTTAAATTTTGATTATTTATACTATCGATTTATTAAATTTTGATCATTTACATTATCAATTGTTATATTTTGGTCACTGAATCGTTAATTTCAGTTAGTTTGATGATGTGACATTGGTTAAAAGAGATTAATTTTTAATTTAACTCATAAATTGTAGATAGAATATTGATATAACCTTTGAATTTTAAATAAAATTTTATTTTGACCTCTAAAATTAGATAAAATATAAATTTAACATTTGAATTCAACCAAAGTCTCTCTTTAACGGTTGTCTTTCACCACATCATATTGGTCTCCATCGTTGCCATCAATCATTCTCGGTGATGATTGTTGGATCTTAAAATTTTGAGTTCACTCCTTTTTGACTTTTTAAAGTGACTCTAATGTTTATTTCTAGGCTTGTAAACGAATCGAACATTCAATTAACCGTTCGACGATAAATTTTTTTATGATCTTTTATTTATTAAACGAACGAAAATGAAAAAGATTTAATGTTCATTTAATAAAATGAGCGAACAAAAATAAATGGCTCATTCTTTCATTTGCGTTCGTGAACGTCGATAATTTATTCGTTTATGTTTGTTCATTTGTTTTCAACTCAATCTCCAAACATGTTTAAAATATTAAGACCTAACAAATTTTGACCTTAAACCCATTAATATTTTTAAATCTAATTAATTGTAAACTCGAATAAAAAATATTCAAATCAATTAAAGAAAATATAAACCCTAAAATTATTTGAAAAGAAAAATCTCTTCTCAAATATAAATTCGATAATTTTATATTCGTTCATTTATGCATGTTTATGTTCATTCATTTGTGTTCATTTATGTTCATTCGTTTGTGTTCATTTATCATTTTAACAAACGAACATAAACAAACTACATTCCTTAATGAACAAACAAGAACATGAACAAAAAAATCCGTTCGTTTAATTGTTTTTGTTCATTCATTTGTTTGGCTAAAGTTAAATAAACGAAACATAAACACTCTCTCGTTTGAGTTCGTTCGGTTCATTTACAAGCCTATTTATTTCATCAAAATACTTCGAACTCAACAAATCTAATATTAAAGGCTTATACTTCATCTAAAACTAAATCATAATAACAAATTTATTATTAATATTCTTTTAAAAATAAATATATCAAAAAAAAAGTATATATCATAATCAAATACATAATTTTATAATATTGTATTACTTTTACAATATTAATTATAAATTTTTAATATTTATAAAAGTGAAAAATTAAAATGAAATAACTAAAATACCTTGTTGAGATGAATCTGATTTCTTCTTAATTAATTAATTAATTAATTAAAATGTAAGCATTATTATGAAAAAGAAGACCCCCTCCGCCTAGCTATTTTTTTTATTAAACTAAGATAATTACAAAATAATATTCTTAATCATTTAATAATAAACGGTCAATAATCCTACTGTAGCTATTGGTGCTCAAACTTATAACATTTAGGAACAACAAAGATTGAGAGAATCTAACGAAATATATAACTTAAATATACAAAATAATATTAATGTTATTGCTAGTTTAAAAAATTGAAAATAATATTATAATTTATAAATATTAAAAATTTAAAATCAATATTATAAATATAATGAAATATTATAACATGATAATATTATAAACAAAAATTTTATGACTTCGACTATCATGTAAATTTACTAGTTTGATATCGTTATTTTATAAAAATGTTAATAACAAATTTATTATTAAGGTTTAATTTTAAAAGAAATCAAATGGTTTAAAGCTATATTTATTGAGTTTGAGAAAATTTTCAGTGAAACAAATATCAAATTTACATTCAAGATGTTAGAATGACTGAACTAAAAATTTTAAAGTCCAACCGTCATCGACGAAGGCGGTTGATAGTGATCAATGGTGGCCGACAGTGATAATGATGAGTGTCGGTTGACGACAAGAGATTCCAACCGACAGTGAACATAATATTATAATTTATAAATATTAAAAATTTAGAGATCGAAATAAGATTTTATCTAAAGTTTAGGGTTAAATTTGCATTCTATCTATAGTATATAGTTTGATTAAAAATTAATCTAATTTAATTAATACGTAACATAATTTTTTTAACAATTTCTACTAAGGGGAGGGAGAAGGGAAATTTTGCTCCTAATTAGTATTGAACCCACAATTTAGAGGAAATAATGCATCAACTGAGAGCTTGTAACCACTTGCTATAAACATTATTGACTAATTAACATACAATTGACTCAATCTTAATCGAACACATTTTCAAATATTATGTCGATTGTTATTTGCTGTAGATCTACAAAATATCACCGAACATATCTTCCCCGATATCTCAAACATATCGTTAGATTATACTCCTTTTGTATTATGTTGCTCTCCTGTTCATTTCATCATCTCTCATTGTTTGGATCTAGGAGTGTATTAGGTTCGATTCAATTTATCAATAAAAATATTTTTGAACCACACTTTGTGGGTTTTTAGAAATGGGAACCGAAACCTAATGATATAAAAATCACGGTATCGATGCGACGATTTTTGACTGTTTACTGTTTTTCAAACTCAACCTCAAAAAAAATAAAGCTTAATTTGAGTACAAGTATATAAATTTAAATTTATAAAAAATATTATTAGTTTTAATAATTTTATTTATTTAAATTTGTTTTATAATAAATTCAAAATGAATGTTTTTTTGAATACTTATTTTCTTTCATGTTTTTAATTATGTTCAAATGGTTTCCAAATGAAAAAATTGAAACTGAATTGAAAATTTATTTTTTAAGACCGAACCGAAATCAAATAGCAAATTAAAAAATTCAAACCAAACTGAACCAAATAATCCGATTTGAATCAATTTTTTTATTTTCTCGATTTTATTACTTATCCCTATTGGGATTTCTAAACAAAGGTTTCCATCGTTGAGAATCATCTTCAATGGAAAAGGTTAGATTTTATTTTCATTATTTTTTTACTTTTGTTTTTTGGTTCATGTTTTTGTCCTATTTTCTTTTTTATGCAAATTTTGATTTAAATTAGGGATTGAGAGTTTAAGGTTCATGTGAGTCTAATGATAATATTAATATAGGGCAAGTAATAAATAATATATGTTTAAAAGTAACTTTCAATTATTTGACATTTAACGTTCATACCATTGGTATTCATAATGTTTGAACATAATACTTCAAAAAAATAACAATAATTCTTTTATCATCAAAGTCATTTGATTCATAAAAAATTTGAATTTGTTGATAGTCACGAGCCCTTTGTCTTCCTTTTATACCTAAAATTATTATAATTATATGGGTAAATTATAAATTTCATCATTAAATTTTACATTATCCTATTTTATTCATTGAAGTTTAGAAGTTTTTAATTTTTTCAATAAATTTAATACATTAATTTTTTTATCACTCTACTATTAAATAATTAACAACATTAAAAAGACATTATTCTTAAAAAAATGAAATTTACATCAAAATGAAGTTATTTTTCATCTATATAAAAACTTATTTATAATATCATTAGTGAAAAAGTTGCTAGTAACAAAAAAAAAACTTAGTATATTAATTACATAAAAAATTAAAAATACTTATAGTATAATAAATAGAATAAAAGATGAAATAAAGTTTACCCAACTTGTAATTTATCCTAAAAACACTTTGGCTATATAGACCCTCATTTATTGTCAAACCTTTTTTAACTTTCTCGTAGCCTTCCCCTAGCCTGCCACCCACCGTGATTTTCGCCGTGGACCGTCGTCGACCATCATTCGCCGACGACGGTGGAGATGAAAGAGACACCGACCGAAGCCTTTCCACTCCCTGAGCACGGATTTGACCTCCGATAAGTCTAAAAAAGCCTTCCTCGCCCTAGATCTAAGAAAATATTCTTGGTTTACTTGCTTCCCGATGATCTACGGACTCCCTGGCGATGGTAAACGAACACTCCTCCCCTTTCTCTCTTATTTTCTTTCGAAGGTTTTTGTTTACAACGCTTCTGTGTATCGAATATGAAGGAGGATCCCTAAACTGGGTAGTGATATCTATTTTTGTTTGATCATATTGAATCTATTTGCTTCATATTGAATCTATTGCTTTCTGATTTACGTAAATGGATCTAAGGTGTATGGGTCATAGTTGAATAATAAAATTGTATGAATTGTAAATGGGCTGCCAGATTATAGGTTTAACATTTGGGTCGTGGGTTTACAACGGGTCTGAGTTCAATGAAATTGGACCTTCATTTCTTCACAATGCTACACGAGTGAAACCATCTAAATTCCCATTTATAATTTTGGCCACGCACAACTGCCATTTGTAATTCTTCTAAGCAAGCATGAATGCAAACAACCCAAAACTGCAAATCAACGCGAGGTTAATGGAAGAATATGAATGACCTTTCAAAAGCTTTCCCTACTCACACGTCACGAACTATTCTTTGCACGTGCAATTTGAATCTTTAAATTCAAATTGGTCTCCGATTGTCTTCAATTCGATTTGAATACCCGAACAAAATTAGGTTATGATGGCATTAATGAAAAAAAGTATTGGTTTTTCAGAGGCTTATAAATAAGCACTATTGTTATGAAAAAAGAGAAATCACCTAAAGAGTTTTAATTTAAAAATTAAGAGCAATAAAGAAGAACTTTTATGTAAAGATAATTCCTTTTCTATTTTATTTTATTTTTTTGATCAATCTTGGTTTTGTTTTATTTGAAAACCCTACCGGAAGAGAAAACCTCGATGAATAAGGAAAATGGGTTTTCAATGTATCTTCGTAGATTTAGCCTTCTTTATGGTTTCTCGATGAAAATCGATGATAGATCTTAAATGAAAATATATTTTATTTTTTTAATTTAAAATGTGAGAGAGAAAATGAATTGATATTTTTTGTATTCAATTAAAT